AGTCTTGATTATACCTTGTTCATAAATTCTGATAGTTTTTAACAAATAAAGACATGACATTCTCCAACAAAGAGCCCGTTTTATCTTACTTCAATGACCCGTACAGACCATTGATGGAATAAAATTATTATCTAAGGTGTTTCTTGAAAACAACTTGGAAGTATTTTTCCCACCACTGTGCTTTGCTCAGTCAGTCCAAATGATAGGCCCACCTGCCAGCTCAGCCTTAGCTGATCTCCCAAGGCTCAACTACATGGTCTTTTCCGTGGGGTCTTTCCTGACATCCCAATCAGACATGATGTCTGTCTTTAAGTTTTACTTGTCCTTGCTCGTCCTAAAATTGCTTGTCCTTGCTGCCTATCTTACAGTTATTTGCATAACTCTATTATCTCCTTTAGTACAATGCAAATTCTGTTCCCCAAAACACTTAACGCATAGTATAGGAGAGCAGTGACAAAGACTGAATGTTCCAACATAATGAAGAAATTGTACATGGGCGATGATGTAGACAATGCTCTTAGAGCATCAGGTAACTTAAGGAACTTTGGAGAAGTTCTGGATAGCATTCCATTTGCGGTGAATTTCTCCTCTCTGTTGCTAATGAAAAAAAATGCAGTCATTTCTGGGTTCCAGATTTAGGGAGTCTGAAAACAAATTGACGTGTACCATTTTTTAAAGCTGTCACAAAGCTAGCTGCTACATGAGTTTGGGAATAGAACTTGTGAATGCATTCAAAAGTCTTCATCCAGGAAATTTCCTAACATACCTGGGGAGTTCTAGGCAGCTAAATTCCCCCTGTTCTCTTTATTTCTTTCTTATACCTTTTTAAGCAAATTGGTTTATTTTTTTTTTTATTAAAATCTTAGTAATCTTTTAATGCTCCTGGGAACTATCTCATACATATAAAATATGTTTCCTTTTAGATGGTTTCTTTTTTCCTTCTCCAGAAAACACCAGTCAAGTGTATCGTTTCCCTATTGATACCAGTCTTGCTCCAATTCTTCTTTTTTAATCTTGTTGCTTTCTGGACATAAATGAACTTCACTGTTAAATTAGCAGTTGCGTGCGTGTCTGGAATACTAATTAATAGCTGCAAAGCATTCTGTGTGCCATATTGTAGCATATGCCCTAATGCCACTAGCAGCGCATGTATCTAGACGGCTGCCAGTTCACCTGGTCAAATGGTAGTTTGCCTTTCCTGTATTATGATACATGCATCATTGTTTAAGACACCTGAATGCCTGTGGCCAGTTTTTCCCTTCCAACCCACAACTGCTCAGCTTCCTTGTGGGCTTCATAGACAATGGAAGAATAAACATTTTTCTTAATGCTTTCGATCTCCATCTCAATCTCTTGCTCTTGCTCTCTAGGCTCTGCTCGCTTTTGCCCCCAGGCTCTTTCTGTCCTAAATTATTATTGTTTATTTAAAGAATGTGATTCTCATCTTCTCTCCATTAACTGCAAATGCTTTTCAGAAGTCAGTGAGCATGTAGTATTTAGGGATAGCAAACTCTTCCATTTGATGGTGTTGGGTCCCCCAGTAATGGGTACGTGATTAAAGGAGCGAGACTGATACAAAGTGAAAGTCAAGCAAAACTTTATTTCGCGCTAGCATCAAGAATCAAACCGACCGTCAAACAGACCGGTCAGGGCTGCCCCTTACAGAGAGGACGACCTTTCTCTGTTTCACAGACTAGCTTTTATAGAGCAAAGGCCACGTGGTTGGGCCTGGCCACGCACAGGTGGCCAATGAAATTGTAACACACAGAGAAAGCTGCACAGTCATGCTCGGTGACCAGTTGAATTACAATTTACCCTAGTAGACATTTGAACCAGCCTTTCACCTTGGTCAGAATTGGCGCCCAAACGGTACCCAAAGGGCAGGGCCCATACTCCTTGGTAGCTAGGAGTCCCCACTGATTGAATACTCCACCTGGCCTGACTCACCCTTTTTACTTGGACTTTGTTACCTCCTCGGACTGGTTTCCGGGACTTGTTTTTAAGTAAGTTTCCCGGGGGCAAGGGTGGGGGCTGGGGAGGGTAGAGTCAATTTAAGTTTTACAACAAAATGGCAGTTCAACCGGGGTGGGGCCGCTCTGGCTGAAGAGGCCCTTACAATGGAAATAGGGTGTTGGGGAGGTGGGACTTGACTGGAGAGGATTTTTAGGTTTGGGTTCTGAGGGACCCTGGGGCGCCATGCCATGCCATTGGATTTTGTCCTGCAAGTGAAGTGGACGCCATTTGTGTCCTATTGTATCCTATTTGTATCTGTTTTCTAGCAGAGCAGGAAAGTCTTCTAAGGGGGGATCATGGGGCTCAATATGGAGACTGAGAGATCAGTTATAATGTTCTTACAATCATCTAGGTCAGTGTTTTCTCACTTCAGAAGAAAACGTGTTTGACATTGTGACTTTGGAAAAAACAAGGCTTACTTCGTGGGGTGCATTCAGTATTCCGTGTCCTATTCTATTCTAATTTCATTGAAAAATGCTAGCCCGAACAATCTAAGTTAGTTTCAGATCCTGCTAATTGTACATAACCTGCAACTTGAAAATCACTTATTTAAACAAATGATAATGAAGCCCTAGATGAAGGTAACGTCATCAAACGGAGAGATGGTGCAACTGGGAGTAATTAGGAAAAGAGAGGGGAAGATGACTTTGTGATTTATTGGATTTAGGCACATGGAAGAACCAAGAATGACTGAAGTTCTCTTGTTGAGAGACGAGGTAGGTGATGGTACTCCAAATTGAGATTTTGATAGAGTAAAAAAAAAAAGGCAGTCTTGGGGTAAAAAATAAAGTTCAGTTTTGAATATACTAGATTTGTGATTTCTATGGGAAAATTATAGTTAGGGAAAGAGGTAAGGATGAGAGATATAGTTTAGGAATCAGCATGTGGGTGATAATTAAAGCAGCGGGAGAGACTGAAATAATTGAGAGTTTGCATATCATGAAAAGAGAAAACACTGAGAGTGAATTGTGGATAAAGCCAGCATTGAAATGGGAGGTTAGGGAAGAGGACGCAGTGAAGGTAACTGAGAATTAATAATCAAAGGGCCAACTAGGGAGTGAAGAGATAATGTAGCTTCAGGAAAAAGAGCAGTCAGCTGTATCATGTACTGCAGACGTAGCGGGTAGAATCTGAATTCCTCATCTAAGAGGCCCTGGGTAGCCATTGTCTGCACTTCCAGCAGACCGGTAGGATGGGAAGAATGACTGCCTTGGGTTGAGGAAAAGCAGTTAGATTGTACTGCAGACAGATCTCAAAGGTCAGCTTTAAATTGAATGAGTAGAGCTGGTAGTACGTAGGCTGGGTATCAGTTAAGCCAAGAATATCTTACGCAACTCAACTTTGTGTCCAGAGGACACAGATGCCGTAGAGACAGAATAAACATAAATGCATATTAGGAAAATGAGGAGAGAGCTGTGTGGACTGGTATTAGTGTAACTGCAGTCTGGTGTTCTTAGTCTCTCCATCCTCTTTTTGGCAGTGTCTTTTTGCTTTCCAAAATCCAGATCCTTGAGGAACTAGCTGGATTGGCTCGGTAAATAACCACTATCTCCCTCGGGATGAGTCTGCAAGCCAGGTTGCCTCCCCAGCCTTGTGTGCCCTTTGTCCCATGGGTAGCCAGGATGTACACAAAACTGGTGTAACATATTTTACTTGCCCAATAAAATGTAACTTGTACACAGTTTGCCACAAAGCACCAAATTAGATTTGGACAGTGCTTAAAGCATTTCACTTAAACGTTCTCCATTTAATTAATAGAGCACTTACAGTTTGATCTCCTGGGAGAATCATTCTAAGTGGGCCCTTTCTTTGCTTCACGGTAACGTTTCACCATTGAGTGTCTTATATCCACACATGCGTGCATACATGTGTGCGTGTGGACATACTTATACGGATAGAATTAACCAAGCTGATAGGCAACCATAAGTCAGTTCTTAGAGTTTAAACGTGATACAGATTCAGTTATCACTGGGTGTTTGAGCAGTGGATTATGTAAGGACCTGAGTTCTCATTGCTCTACGTCATCTCTTCCATTTTCCTGTATTGTGCTATTTCAGGAGAATTTTTATGTAGTGAGGAAAAGACAGTGGTGTTCATAAATCTTTGAGGCTGCTTACAAGCCTGCTTATCTATTTTGAAGTAATTACTACTTCTGGAAAGCTTCTGTCTTGAAGTCATTTGTACAAAGTAAAATTAATTCATCACCTATTCTTCTTCCGAATCTTATCACAGAAGTTTAAAAGTTCTTTCCTGGAAAATTCTTACTGCCCAAGTAAGTTTATTTGAGGAAATAAATGATCACCCAAAACGCACCTCTTTCTTTCTAAGGGACTTAGTAATTGCTGTCCTTTCATGTTATATTTCCACTGCTGTAGCTTAGCACACTTGCATTCTTGTGTGGATTACCGGCATAAATCAGAATATCTTCTAGAGTCAGACTACATAGAGCTACCAGTGATAAGGGAAAAAGGCAGCACTGATCACAAAGGAATAATAATGAGAAGACTGGCGGGGCGAAGGAGCAGCGGCAGAATGTGAAGTAATTTCTAAGGGTGTTGCAGATCAGAAAATAAACAAATGAGATAAGTGGGAGTGGGCCTCACAAGGTTTGAAACTAGGGAACCAAAAGCTGGAGCTGGCATGCTCTTCCACGGGAGGCTTCGTGGAACAGCTGAGTGGGAAATGTCCACCAGGCAAAGACCTAGGCAATGCTTTATGTGGGGATGAAAAAGTTCAGAGTAAAAAGGAAGGAAAGAAGGGGCAAATCAGGGCATGATGTAGGATAATTGTGTGTGTAGTCATGCAGGCTTTTCTGCGTTTATTAATGCAAACACCTTATTAAATAAACTGAGAAGGAACGTCTTCACTACTCATTCTTTTTGGCTAAATTTTAAGTATCCAATGGCATTTCTGAGGGGGTTTTAAGTGCTTTCTTGAGTGTTTTGTCTTTTAAAAAAAATGTCTTACGGTTCTTTGTTGTGTTTTAGCTATGAAGATGGCCAAGTTGGAGACGCGAATATTAACACACAAGAAGGAGGCATTCACAAAGAGATCCTTCGAGTAATTGGTAATCAAACTGCTACTGGTTAAAGGACCACCATTTAATTAACATGATTTGAAAGCCTTCCTCGGGTTCAAAGCTGGATTTTGAACTGAAGAAGATGATAAAATAATTTATTGTTATTATAAACAAAAGTAACCCTTTGAATACTGATTTTTTCTTAGTATTTCTAAGTATCTCATTAAATACCTAAAATGGTATAAAATTTATCAATTGTAGGGTTATGGAATCTAGTAATAAAATTGCAACAGCACTTAAACTGAAGTTTGGGTTGCTCACACAATAAACAGATTGAAAAAAACAGTTCTGTGCTGATATTTTTATATTAAACTCTTCAATTGGAAATTTGGTATTATATACCAACATTTTAGGTTACCAAAATAGAACTGAGAACATTTTATAAAGACATCTAAATCTATACAGTACTTTGCAATAAGTTTGTTTGCACATTCTCATGTGCTATTTACTTAGTGGTATGAACACTCAGATGTTTTGGGGAGGGACGTTTCCTATTCTCTTGTTATTTTTTTCTCATACAAAGACAATTAGGTCTTAGATGCAGAGCTTTGCCCAAGAGTATGTAATGTACATATTTATAGACCGATGCATCCAAATGTGTGATCAAGCAGAGACGGCACAGCTCCCCGATTCTATGCTCATTTAATAGGAAGAAAATAATATTCAGTAAGCAGTAAATCAGGACATAAACCAAGATATGAGTCAAATTTACCACCATTCATTCACTGAAGATGTTTAGAAACAATTTTTCTATTTGTTTAAATAATTTCCACTTCAGTTAAAATTCAACTCTTTTATAATGTTATCTAATAGTTATAATTTGGGGAACACAGATGCCCCATGTGGATTAACTCTCAAATGATTATATGCATAAAAGAAAGGCCTCAGAATTTAAACAAACAGTATATATTTTTTATTTCCTACGGTAGAACATTTTTAAAATTTATTTATACCACACCAGCATTTTTTATATTTTTTCATCTAATACCTCTGCTTATTTTTTTTTCTTATTGAGAAAGAAGACAAACTTTGAGGTTTCTTTTATATTAAAAGAACACAAATAAGTTTATAGAGAATAACACCAGCTCTTAGCATTGTTCCTTTCAAGAGTCACGTGCTCATCAAAATAATTTCTCTTTCTTTGGGTCCTAAAGTTATTCATTGTAAGTTTTAGACAGTGTTTATTTTCCTCCATGGTGTCTTTGGAATAAGGACATTCATGAGAGCAGTTTAATTAGCAAGTCTGCCACTCTAGTCAAACCCTGAATCAAGGCTCATATCTGATTCTAATTTATTTGGAAAGAAAAAAATAAATAAAAATGTTTAGTCATTTGCAAGTATGATGTCATAACTTCTGTGTTTATTTCCTTTGGCATTAAAGGTGAGCAAAAAGGTCATACTTGTTGTTAAGGGTTGCTATCTAAGAAGTTTTTACTAATTGTTTCCTTATATTGTAAATAATTGATATGCCGCTTACTCTGCAAAAAATAGACTTGAAGTGGTTGGGATATTAATCATTGTGATAGGATCCACTTAAAACATTGATCTGTTCTGACTTGTGCCTCTGAACTCAAAGCCAGACTGAGGGATTGTATCAGCATTGTAGGGCCAAGCTACATCTTCCTTAGTGTTCTGTGACCAGATACTTGAAGACTTTACATGGGACACGAGGACGACTAGCTTTTTTTCTGTCAAGATTCCCCAAGTCTTCCAAATCCCTTTGACTGGGTTTTTAAAACCATTTTAAGCGACAAAATTATTTTTCAAATTAATTTTGTGGCTCATTCTTCTGAATCTTATATAACATCACTGTGAAGATGTACTAGTGAGATTTAGAAATTGAGTTCTTGGAGGCCCACCTGTGTGGCCACTAGCACCACCGAGGCATCTCCAGAAACTCTCTCTAGTGCCTCCACATGTAGTTTTAAGACCACAGACCTAATCATTCAGGTTGGACTTCGCAGTTGAGTGAGCTCTAAAGAGTGAAGTATTAGCACCTGAATTGGAAGGGTAACTTGGAGGACTCAGGGGAGAGTATTTCAGGGAGGAAAAACTGGCATAATGCAAACTTCTACTGCTAGTTCAAGAATAAAAATAAAAGTGGATTCACCTGTTAGGGCAAGGAAAGTGGTTGCTAGTTTTCATGCTTACTAAATATTACAGACAATGGACATCTTTTATGATAATAAAATCAGATGTCTCCTAATGGTAATTCATTGAATGCTGTTGCAGTGCAGAATGTCAGGTTATAAGTTTATTTTGAAAAATTAAGTTCAGAACCTTTGTAAGCAAATAGTCTAAGTATTAGAGCAAGTCTTTTAATTGAATTTATGGTATTGGGGTAACTATAGCATCCTGATACTTATCTTTATTTTTAAGGAATCTAATTTCAATATCTATCATTAGTAAGTGAATATCATGCTTCCAAGATCCAAGAAGGTCTTTAAATGTAGAAGTTTGAACATTATCATGCCTTGATTCAGTTACCCCAGTAAGATACTACCTATTGACATATTTGATGATTCCAAACATGTGATATTGTATTGTATCTATATGATATTTGAAGTCTGTTCACTGATGTTTTGTTGTAGTTATATTAATTGTGTAGCCATTACTACATAATATGAACCTACTGAGCAAAGGTAATCCTTTATTTTCATTCTTGAAGTACTGGAAGAAGAACCTTAATTTTTTTCTGCTTTTTCCTGCATTACTCATTTTGTAAACATTTCACTATGAGTAATTTGTCCTTTTTCACTGTCCACTGTATTAAAAAGAGAAGAAAATGATCGGACATTCAAAAAGAGAAAAAAGTGATAATATACTTACAACCTAGTGCTCCACAACACTTTATGGAAAGGCATTTTTGGTGCCTTAGATTCCATCATGTTGAAATGATTTTTATTTTATTTTATTTTTTTTTTTTGCTCAGCAAATCTCAGTCAAATGTTGAGTGTGAAGGTGGTTTTCAATTTAAAATTTGAATGAGAGCCACATCCTTAAACTTAGTATCAAATATGCGATGTAAGAAACCACCCCCAAAACTATTGTTAATGTTCTGAATATCTCTCACTGAAAAACTTGAGAGTTTAGAAAAGACAACTCTCAGTTTTTCTCCACTTTGCTGAAAGAAAGAAAACTTTTAATATGCAAGTCTATGAATTTTTGATATCATTGAAAGAATTTTAGCAGTACCTTATACCATAATACCATAATTCGCCAGAGGCCATGGCGTTTGAGAAAGTTTTAAGGAAGAACTCATCATCCTTGTTAATGTCTGGATGCCTTTATCAGATAGTAATTTAATATGTCATGAAGGGCCACTCAGCCTTGGACTGCCTACCACTTAAGTATGTGGATTTCATAGTAGCACTTGAAGCACACTGTAAAAATATTAGGATGTTTTTTGATTGCTCTGCTGAATTCTTCATTATAACACTACCTCAAGACAAATGATAGACTGTTTGTTAAGGTAAATTGGTTTCCAGTTGAAGGAACAATAAAATTTTGCAAATGGAAGTTAACTCAAATAATTCAGCCAAGACTGTGCTGGATGTAGATACTGTCAATAACCTCTTCACATTGCAGAAATAAGGATATTTCAGTCACTGGTGATGAATGATACAGCTAAGACCCAGTGAGTTATGTGAAGGGGTTTCAAGGCAAAATTTGAATATAATTAGTTCCCTTTAAGATTGGTTTTCTCCATGGGCCAATTTGATGTCCATTCACCTAAGTCACAAACAATTGCCCATTTTACAGTTAAAGGATTAAAATCCTCAACTGTTTTGCCAGAATGGCAGACTGAATATTCAAGTTATTTTGGCATTGAATGCCTGCTAAATTTTTGTCAGATTATATATAAATTTGATGTATATTACTGTCCAGTCAATTTTCCTGGAGATTTTGTATACACTATGATATATTAGGATAGGTTTTTGTAGGTTAAAAGAATTTCAAGTAGTTTTTAGACAAAACATATCCATGAGTGTGAAAAAGCTGTGTTGAAGAATAGATTACATTACACATTTACCAGCAAGTCAGTAAAAAAAATAGTGCTTATTTACATAGTCAACATAATTTAATGTTCCAAAAATACTTTCTTCAGTCTACCCAATATTTAATGTATCATTTGAGATTTAAAAAAATGCAGCCACTCCTTTATGTAAACATTAAGAGATGCCTATGTTTCTTTAACTATCTAGCCTTCTTTACAATAAATTTCTTGACTTTTGTGCACAAAATAGTATTGCAACCTGCTATTTAGCCTTTGGTGCCTTAGAGTTATTATAAATATTTAACAATATGTACATAATGTAAATACTGCCAAGAGATCACTAAGGCCAAATATTTTCTCTATTCACTTTTTATTGCACTTGCTTTCTACTGCTACTTAAGCCTCTTTTATCCAGCTTTGTAATAGTTCTAACATTGTAGCCAATGTAAATGTTTACTTTCAATAAATCTGAATTTGTTCAACAAGTACGGTATATGTGGGCACTATTTTGAAAACCCGGATAGGCCTTAGATATTCCTGATGATGAGTCTTGCTTCTGGGGACTAGATATTTGAAATTTTCAACAAACTTTAAAAACAATGTTGCCTTTTTCACTTATAAAATACTTTTAAAATAAGAGGGAGTAAGAGAAAAAAAAAAAAAAACAACAACCTTCTTGCCAGTATTCCCCCCACATACTTGTGACAGATTTAACTAGCCATGTTGAGTACCATTTTTACCTCATATTCTGTCAAGAAGTTCAGGACTGAAACAAAATATTAATATATTTTGTAGGAATGCTCTATAAACACTTAGGCATAATATCAAAAGGAGCATTTGAAAGGAACCATCTTGAATTTTCTAAGCATTTCGGACTTCATTAGTGATTGGAAAATGATTCTTAAACCACTATTTTTAATAACAGACATTTCAGTAACTAAATAAGACATTAGTCTGTAACCACAAATTTGTTTTTCTTAACACTTGAATGGTAAATATGAGGAACTAAGTTCAGATTTCTACAGGAAATAACATTCTTTACTCACGTTACATTTACAGTTGAGAAACCATAGATAACAAACTTCTGTTTATCAGACTTGATTTCAGTTAACTCTAGAAATACTTGTTTAAGAGTCTGGTGTGCGTATTTGCAGTCACAGTATCTTTTTATAAGGAATAGAGATTTTGTGTCGGCCTTAAGGAACCTTCAGTCTATTTGGGACAGCAAAATATGTTTGGAAATAACTCATGAATTGCACAAAAACAACAATGTTGAATGGAAAAGA